ATGCATTGCAGAAGATGATGAGATCATCTGCAAATTGCAGATGAGACAAATTTACAACATTCTCGTCTTTGCCAATTGTCAGGCCGCAAAACAGACCTGACTGGACTGCTTGGATAATCAGAAGACTAAGCAATTCGCCAACAAGATTGAACAGCAATGGGGAGAGGGAACATCCCTGTCTAAGACCTCTAGACAACGAAAATTCATCTGTAGGAACACCATTAGCCAGCACTGACATCGAAGCAGTAGAGACACACATCCGAATCCAGCTACACCATTTTGATCCGAAGCCCATTTTATCCAAAACTTTAAAGAGAATGTCCCAATCTACCGTATCATAGGCCTTCTTAAAATCCACCTTAAAGACACAAGCCTTCAAACCTTTCTTCCTCCATAAGTTGATACCTTCATTAGCAATAAAGGAAAAATCCAAAATTTGTCGACCCGGAATAAAAGCAAATTGTGAGTCACTGATAATATCCTTGATGCAACCTCTCAATCTTCTCGACAAACACTTGGAAAGAATCTTGTACATCCCTCCTACGAGAGAAATAGGTCTGAAATCATCCAAACCCCTAATATTAGAACCCTTCGGGATTAAGGTAATGAAAGAATGATTAATGCCATTCTCCCACTCCTTCCCCAAAAAGAAATTATGGAAAAACTTCAAAATATCCCTCTTCAAGTAAGGCCAGAATTTTTTGAAAAAACCCATATTCAACCCATCCGGCCCAAGAGCTTTGTTACTATCACACGAGTTTATGGTATCCCAAATCTCTTCTTCCTTAAACTCCTTCTCTAGCAACAGACTCTGCTCCAGAGAAATTCTTGAAAAATTCAAATTAATATCCTCCACTTCCAAGGTAGAACGATGATTAAACCCCACTCATGCACACACCAAAGAGAAAGAACATCTCAGCAGACGTAAGCCAGGCTTGGATCTTTTAGTACAATTTTCTTCCCCTCGTTCTAAGCCCCAAACCCTTCAATAAAACAAGATTATCTTATGAAATGCATACAATCACGAAACAAGAAAGTCACCCATTTTGTTCCCATTTCAGTTTTTCACATCAAGAGAACAGGACATCATATCTGCATATGTAACTCATGTGGATGGATAGAGCTCAGTAAAGTACAATGAATTGAATCAAGGGGTGATTAAGCACAATAATTCTCTAAATTCACAGAGTAAATAATAATCTATCAAAGTAAACCAGTTATATCATTCAAACCTTACGTAATAAAGTTAAGGAATCAAATGTACCTAAAATAAAAAGTTAAGGAATTAAATGTACCAAAAATATAAAGTTAAGAACTAAATATCAGTAAGTAGTAAACTGCAATGTTCAAACAGTGATGGATACCAACCATATTATTATACGAAGTGAAAAGAAGCAAAGAGGACACTGAACATGGAATTAAGCAAGGTATTACAGAGAAATGTATTCTTAACTACTCATTAAGCAATGCCTATTCAAATTTATAACCATTTAAAATCAAATGAAAAAACAAACAATAAAACATATAAATAATAATATAATAGATCATACCACAGCATAAGTTTCTTCAGTATGAATCAAGGAAGCTTCAGGAATGTCAAATTGTGAAATCATTCCCCTTCCTTTGTCTTCTGTTTCTACACGCTGTAGTTGTATTTGTTGTGGCACATCCGGCAGATGATTTGTGATGTCTTAGTAATTGAACAAAGAAAAAAAAAGCATCTTTTGCTACAAGTGTATATCGATAATGCAGTTAACAGGGATAAACAATAATTAAAGTAAAATTAAGAAAATCTAACCAATCTACAAAGCCTCTGATACAGAAAGCAGTAAAACATGCATAAGGATTTATAAGCAAAAAGAATTCTTCTCTACAAGAGATTGCAACGATTATAACAAACAAACAAAAAAAAGTATTCCAATATTCCCAATAACTTCTCATTGTTTAGTTGTTAATATCATTTTTTATATAGCATCACACTTTCATTTCAAGTAGAAAATATACATGAAAAAAAAATTAGAATGTAAGGTCCTTCAAATTACACTGCAAAAACAGTGAATAAAATGTTGATATAAAAGGAAAATCTGTGAAAGATAAAAGGATTGGTAATTGATGAAAATTTGAAGGTGAAAATCAGAGATACATGAGCGCCGAGCTAAGGTTACCATCTTACCTGGAATTCCTACAGTTTTCTGGCTATGGTGAACTGGTTTAGACTTTTATTCTCACGAATGCAGTGCAAGTATTTCCAGTTCACTTTCTATCTGTTTCTTTCCCCCTAGCGATGTCTCCATATTCTTAGCAACAGTTAAGTGATGGACCGCATCTTCGTAGTTGCACAGTGTAGCATTCACTTTACCTCTCCTTTACCACACCTACAATAAAGAAATGTTAATGCCACCAGAAACAGCTTAGTTTGGTGGAATCAGCACAAAAAACAATCACAAAAGGAAAGACTGTTATATGCAACTTTGAGACAAAAAGAAAGCTACATGCCTACATCCGTAACAAGAAGATAGAGATGTTTCCATATAATAGGGCATATATATAAATTTTGTCTCAAATCACACAAGCCGAGCTCAATTGTACAAACCCTCCTACAAAAACATTACAATCTTGTGTTTACCCCTCAACCATATTTTTCTCTTTAAAAAATTAATAGCCCATTTTTCACAGTTTGATATAGACAGTGACTGCTGCGAGGCCAGGGCTCCTTTTGAGAGCAAATGCAAATGATTGTGAAGGAAGAGGCCATAAGATGAGTTTAATATGTACCTTAGGATAGGAAGGAGAAATTTCTAGAGCCCTGTTGCAATCTCGAAGAGACTCCATAGGCAGTCCCATTTTCTAGAAAGTTGAAAACCAAAACAATGACAGTTTTCAGGGAATTACATTAGATGAACGATTGAACGTTTGGGAGAGAAAAAAACAGATAGAGAGAGTGACTCGTGTGAAATAAAGAAGCTCGATTCAAATACAATGTGGCAACAAGATTCTTGCCAGTGCCGTGGGCGTCAATGGGAGCAAGACGAAGCGCCTGTCACATTTCCATTAAAACCAGCATGCGAAAGCTCAAGAAAGGGAAAATTCATTCATTACTTCGGTAAAAAAAATGTAAAAAAGAGAAGAAGAGACCTGAGAATAGCAACTTAAAGCCTGGGAGTGATCTCCAGAGGAATAGCATTGATTTCCCTTTTGCTTCAACTCCAAAGCAGCGTCCTTGTTCTTAGCACAAAGACCGGCCTGGGCCGATGGCTGTGCGGCCAAATCCGATATCAACTGATGAAATTGCGGCAAACTGAGGAAATATTGGAGCAGTGAAGACGATAGTGAAGGAAGATCGTCGATACTGCTCTCCGCCACCCTCCGCTTCAGGCTCTCCGGAACCAAACATTTAAGCTTCTCCATTTACGAACGCTGGCTCTTTCTACTGTCTGCTTCACTTCACTGCTTTATATCTTCCTTTTCCTTTTGTCTCTTGTCACTATGACTCTCATTCCTTTCGACTAAGAACTTCAGGGTTAACTCGTGTTCTGTTCTCTCCCTAAACTCAAAGGGTCCAATGCTGTTATTGGTCCATGTATTATATATAAGTTTTGAATCTAGTCCATTTAATTATTTTCATTCAAATAGTGGGTTTAACGTAATGCAACAACTAATTATTGTCAATATTAAGCAAAAGAAAAATAACGACCTATAAAAATAAAAATATTTATTATAATACTCTAATAAAAAATTATATCTATTCATTTTCTATTTCGAATAATTAAATGAAGAAAAAAACAATATTACATGGAAAAGTATAAAAAATTCAATGATAATTTAAGTCTAAAACAAACAATATTTTTATTTAATAATCAATATTTAATTTATTAATTGATTAATCTGAAATAAATTTCATAGAAACTTATTATAATAACAATCTTTTCGATTGAATTTACTTTAATCATTACATTAGAATCAAATTTTGTTTAAAGAATTGAATATTTCATCTCATTAGACCAATCAATTATTAGTTAATAAATGATTTTTAACTACTCGATTTGTTGTAGTATAAGAGTATTCATTTTTGTTATCTTCCTAGAGGTTTTGAGTTCGAGCTAAATTCGAGTGACATCAAAAGAATAAGACAATTTTAAACATTTACTACTTTGTAATCACCATCGCAATTCAAAATAAAAAGATAGAGAGAATTCCTTCTAAAGAAAATTTAAATTTTGACACCACATCATTTTTCTTTATAAAAGTTGAAGGTCTCATTAAAAACTCCCTTTATGTTTTTCAAAATACTGTCAAGTATTCGAAAAGTAACGAAAAGAAAAAAAAAAGTACCTCAAATTTTATTATCATCTTAAATCCATACAAGAAGTTGAAGTACTATCGTCCTTTAAACTCTCCTAATAAGAACAGGACCACATTCAAACAAAGTTCAAAAAAGACCTCCCAATAATACACAAATCCATAAAGAACAGATTCCATAAAGGGTAGCGGACATAATCCAGGATCTTTTAACCACCCTACTGCCATCCTGCTGTCGCTCTCCTCAATCAACCCGTTCCTCTTGTTAACTTCCATGTCTAAGAACGTCAAGATGCCTTGTTTGATTGCTAATAATTCTGCTAAAATAGGGGGTCCTTGCCCAACAACCTTAGAGAACGTAGCTAGACAGTGCCCACTCTGATCCCTATACAAACCGCCAATACCCCCTCCTTCCCAAGAGTTCATCGTAGCTCCGTCCACATTTACCTTGATGAACCCAGGCGGCGGTGGTGGAGACCAAATCTCAATCACCGTATTTTGGATTGCAGCTCCTATCACGTTGTCAGCCAGCGAAACTGACCAAACTGTCGAAAGAGATGGCTCATTAAACATCACTGCTTCAATTTTCTCCTCCCAAAGCTTCCATGGACTGAAACAAGATCTTAGCCTAGAGCTGTATATAGTACTCCAAAATACCAAGGCTTGAAACATTTGAATTTTTCTATAATGTGCACCCAAAATAAAGAAAATCCATTAATTCATCATTGTTTTTATGTTCTCAACATAATGAATGATTAACAGGGGACAAAGTGTTTAGCATGATGGGGATCCTAATGTACTGGTATATACGTCAACACTCCACCAACAGAGAGATGATCCTTCGCAGCTGACATGCAAAAGAATACAACAAAAAGAGAAATGCAGAGGAAACTTTTGCTCCAACAAAGTTTATGTAGCCTAAATATTGAGACCGCAGACACCGATAACCTCGACTCTTTATAAACATCCTAGCTTTACAGAAGCTTCTCTAACTTGGTTTACCACCCCTAAATGTTGAAAGGGAGAAGAATGACCGTGTCCCTGAAAAAAATGGCAAACAATGGATTGCAATTCAAAACCACAAACATACCATCAGAATGAACAAAAAGGAAATTGCAAGAGAGAAGAATATGGGAATTGACCTTTAGTAATTGAGGCTGTGGCAGAGACGCTGCCATGCTGCATTTTGTGTGTGCATCAAACGTTCTGACACCTGATTGAGCTGCATACACAAAATCCACAGTACTTTCATAATGAGATTTGTCTGAAAATATTTTGGTATTTGCCAGAAAGTTGAGCAAAGAAGAGAAAGAAACATTAAAGCAATTTTCATATGTGCTTTTGACCTACAACCATCTAGATTCTGTAACAGTTTGACACAAAGCATTTATGATTAAGAGAAAATATACCAGATCGAAGCCCGTGAGAACTCAAATTATGGTCAAAGCCATCGGACAGCAATGTCTTTTCTTGACCATGGTTCTTTATTTTAAGGGCAACCTTTCGCATTAGGTTATCAGAATTTCTCTTATTAGTAACTTTTGATTCTTCTGTGTCCTCTCCTTCAGAAAAGACTGATGGGCTAGACCAGCCAGTTATATTTGCATCCCCCTTACTCTTCCGAGCAAATTTTAACAGCTTCTTTAATCCCTTGGGTGCATCGTTTTGGTAAACCATTGCAGGCAGACTTTCAGCATTTCCCCATTCAGTAATGTAACCTTCGCTACGTTCTTCTTGCAGCATCTGTGACAGAGAATGCCGCACCCGTGGACTTGTTGATTCAACAGGTGCTATGTCAGTTGAAGATGTAATTTCAGCCGTTTTGTCATCACATACATTAGGCAGGTTCTGGTGCTCTTCTTTTTCCACCCAAGCTGTTGGTGAGATGGTTGATTCTTCCTCACATTGGGAAGACCCGACAATAGTTTTTAAGCCGGCATCAAGACCAGCAGCAAGTTCATTAGCACTCTCAACCACATCACCATTCTGATGGCTATTCAACTGTGTTTCTGACTGCGTAGTATCATCACAATGATCCAGCAAAGAAACATCCTGATCCTGATGCTCACTCACCAAGACAGAAGCATTAGCAATCACATCACTCTCATGAGGATCAAGAGAATTTTCAGTGATCTTTGAAGATATTCATTTTTTTTTCATTTTAATGTTATTATTATTATTATAATTATTATTATTATAATTATAATAATTATTATTATTATTATTAATATATATTATTTATTAATATTTCAAAACCCGGAGCCCAATAATCAGGCCCATATCACAAGCCCAAACCAGATGGAAACCTTAAAACATTTAGGGTTTCAGTTAGGGTTTTCTAACCCTAGCCCCGTGCGCCGCCGCCTCAATGGTTTCCAGCCGCCTCAGAAGTCTTCAGCCACCGCCGTTGGTTCCAGAAGGCCACATGTCCGCTGCCTACACTCCACCAATGCCACGAAGCCACCCCGAAGAAGCCTCCAGAAGCTCTGCTGCCACAACCCCGACCGTCCACGTCGCCTCTATGGTGAGTCACCAGCATAGCTTTGGTGACTCACCGAATTTTTCACCCTTCAGACCGGTCCGATGGCCACACCGGTGATGGCTATAAAGCCATCACCCCATCTGCGAACAAAAAAAAAAAAGGACAGAGACGGAGAGAGAGACAGAAACAGAGAACAAAGAAACAAAAACAAAGAACAAATAACCCACAACCAGCAGTCAACAACAACGCAGCAACAAAAAAAAAAGGAGAGAAGAGAGGAAAGAAACTTACTCTGTCATCGGAGAACCCCAACCGTCGCCGGATACAACGAAAACCGAAGGTACTTTTGTAGATTTGCTCCGATTGGGAGCTTTTTAAGGAAAAAGAACACCGGAAACGGTTTTAGACCGTCTCGATCTATATTTTGGTGTTTTTTTTGTAATTTCCGGCCACCATTAACGGTGGCCGGCAGCGGTGGTCGGAGCCCGGCAGCGGTGGCTGACCGGGACGGCTTTCTCTTAGTTTAGAGAGAAGCCAGAGAACTCTGCTCTCTCTCTGTTAGAGAGAGAACAGAAATGAAGAAATGAGAAGCTGGCCCGTAGGGCCAGCCGGTTTTCGGGTATTAATACCCTCTCCCAAACGACGTCGTTTTGGGGAGGGTATTTCTGTAATTTCATAAAGGGTAAACCCCATCCGAAGCCATTCCAACTTGTAATTTTTACATTTTAGTCACTAAATCAAGTTTATAATCCTTTTAATTCGGTTCTTTAATTTCATTTTTATTTGTTTTAGTCCTTTATATTAAAATAATATATATAGGATAAATAACAGATTTAGTCCTATAATTTTAATAATTAATATTTTAATCTGAATAATATGTTTTAATTTATTTTAATCTAATATCCGAATTTTAGATAATTTTATTTTAGTCACTAAATAAATAAAATAAAGGAATAGCATGTTTAATCCCTATAATTTTGATTAATTATGAATTAGGTTTTTAATTTTACTTTTACTATAATTTAGTCATTTATATTAAATGTTTTCATTTATTTTACTGCTTTTAAATATATCATTCTAGTTATATTTTATTGTTTTAATTTTACTTGTTTATATTTTTAAATATTTTTATTATTATGTATTCATAAATATATATATAATAAATAATAATTTATCTTTTTAATAAATTATTTTAATATTTATTTTTCAATATCGACGAAAAGGACAGTCTTAATACAACTGGATGTCCTATTCTGGTATTTTAAAATTAAAAAAATATAAAAAATATTATTTAATTTAAATATCAAAGAAAAGAGCTGTCTTAAGGCACCTAGAAGTCCTTTTCCGATATTTTTAAATATTTCTTTTATATAATTTTGAAATAATAGGATTATAAATTAAATATATTTTGAATTTTTAAAATTTTTAATAATAGAGACAATTTATAATTAAAAAGTACCAATTTTGGGCGTTGTAGGGGTGCTAATCCTTCCCTAAACGTAATCGACCACGAATCCCTTTTTATTATTAAAAAGAACGAATTTTTGGTTATAAACGCAGATCAGTTCAATTTTTTAATTGATGTTTTCTTAAAAAAAACTCTGTTAAAAGATAATTTTTAGGTATTCGACCTACCTGACCCAAAAGGCCGATGGCGACTCACAAATTATTTTCAAAACCATTTATTCACATAAAATTTTTCAGCCAAGTATAATATTTCGTGCCCGGACGAAAACCGGTTACGACAGCTTGGCGACTCTGCTGGGGAATTGGTCAAACTTTAAAATCAATTATAAATTGTCTCTATTAATTAAAAATTAAAAGTTCATATATTTAATTTTTAATTCTTTCTTTTCAAAATTTTTATATTTACTTATTATTTTCATAATATTTATATGTTTCATTTTACTTGTAAGTATTTTATTTCGTTATTTATTTTTCTGTCAAAGGTTTGAACATTTCTCCTCACACACAACACTTGCATTGCATAACATAAAGCTCTATAATTGAGTTTGTCCCTTTTAAGTGGGAGTGAAAGCGACGTCTTCGTGAGAATTTATTCTCCGTGTCAGACCTAGCAAGTAACTTTCGGGGTTTATATGCTCTATGTCTTCGTGAGAATTTATTCTCCGTGTTAGTCATAGAGAAATGTATCCCCTCGAATTGAACTCGGTCCGTTTAAGTCTGTAATGGACTAGGATTGAGGGTTTGATAGCCCAAGGGGGCATCAACAAGGACAGTTCGAGTACCTTTACTCCTAGAACTGAAAACCTGCATATAATAAACCCTAGGAACTCTCTCGATCTGAAACCATGCCGAAATTTTGTCAGTAGGTATACACAAAGGAGAAATAAGCTCTAGCTTTTAATTTATTTTATTTCCTTTTCCTGAATAAATGCATGCGAACTAGAAATCGTGCGGTTAAGTTAAATTTTCCAAACAAATCATGGAACTAGAAAACATGAGGCTAAGATTTATACATTGATAAATAGATTTTTTTAGTTGGTACTAACTATTCTATTTTTTTTTCATGCATATTACATTGCTCTAATATGTTCATATTGATTTCTTTTGTTTGCATTACATGATCATGGCATAACCAAAAGGTGTTGGCTTGAAAAACTGTTCATCATATTGGAAAGAAATCGTAAATGGACAAAGAGTTTTATGATCAAACAAAATATGATACGACCAAGGAAAGACATCCTGAAGAAACTACGAGGATCGAGGGAAGTTCTGCACACAGAGAACCGGTTATATTAATACCAAAAGTAATCCATAAAGATTCTGCCAGATTGATACCAAAAGAAGTCTATGGTAAGAGTATCAGTCGGGACATTCAGAGTAGTGGAGATTTTTATGAATCTCAAGCATGTTATTTGAAGGACTTGAACGACCAAAACGAGAAATTGAGCACAGAAATGAAAACCATGCATGAAGATTTTTAGAAGATCAGTCAAACCTTTCAAAATGCTGGCCTAGGAAGTACCTCAGAAGAATGGATAACAGGGGTCACCAAGCTGAAAAAGAACTGCAACATATATGAAGATCTTGTTCAAGAACTTCTTGGACAGAAAAGATCTCTTACAAGGGAAAATGAGCAACTCCGAGAAGTGACAGAAAATGAAAGAGAATGTCATGGAAGAGGTTGCAGTCCAGACAAGCAATATGTCCCTTAAGTTGATAGACTAATTTGGCTTTGGAGAAGTTAGGAATGAAATATATCCCTACATGTAAAGTTTTGTTTGATGTACCGAAACTTTTGCGTTCAATGAAATCTGTTCTAAGATGATCACTCTTGAGTAACACCTTTTCATACATGCATTTGTATTTTGCATTTGTACATTTTTACGTTTGTATTTACATTTACATTTTTTAAATTTACATCATGCATTAAAACATATTTAATTAAATAATAATGTTTATTTATTTTCAATATCAAGAAAAGGGCAGTCTTAATATAACTGGATGTCCTATTCTGGTATTTTAAATAATTTACATTTACATTTTACATTGCATATTTACATTTGGCATCTTTGCATTTGTATTGCACAATTTGTATTCTTGTTATTACATTCACATATTTACATTTGCATTTGGCATCTTTGCATTTTTTATGTCATAATACATTAAACATTCATTCATTAAAGTAAGGATTTCAAACGAAGTGATCTTGGTTTTTCCTTGAAGCAAGAACGCTCAGCACGACACAAGAAAAATGTCTAAAGAAACTGAAGATAGGCTAGCCAAATTTGAGATAAAGCAGAAAGAAATACAAGAGGATTGAGGAGCAGTTGGCACAAATCGAAGCTAATTCTCAGATCGATCTGCTGAACAATATGAAAGAAATGATTGATAAGCATTTGACTGCTGGAAAGAGTCTTGTTGAAAACCCCACAAATTCTTTGGGTGTTAACCTGTTCATATTCCTGAGTTCACCTCTGTACCCCAGGAAATTCAGTCACCAATTTATTTGCTGTTAAGAACTCACCATATCAAGCTGGAGCATCGTTCCCCACTGATTGTCCTACTACTTCTGAGTTGAAGCCTGATGAATTTTGTAATGAGGTCCTTGACCTAAACAAATCAGTTGAGAAGGAAAAATTCACTCAATACTGGAAAATATAGAAGAGGTGATAAAATCTATAGAGACAGTTGAGTCATTTTATGGGTTTGATGCCAAATAACTAAGTTTGGTCCCTGGCCTGGTTATTCCACCAAAGTTCAAGGTTCCAGATTTTGAGAAGTATAATGGGACTACATGCCCTTCATATCATATCACTATGTATTGTCGTCGTATGACTGGCTATGTAGAGAATGAAAAATTGTTGATCCACTGTTTCCAAGACAGTTTATCTGGGTCTGCATCCAGATGGTATAATCAGCTAAAACGTACTCAAATACGTTCTTGGAGGGATTTAGCTCAAGCTTTTTTTGGTCAATACAAGCACATGACTGATATGGCCCCTGATCGAACAATGTTGCAAAGCATGAATATGAAGTGCAATGAAAGCTTTCGACAATATTCACAATGATGGAAAGACGTTGCTTCTCAAGTACATCCACCATTGATTGAAAAAGAGTTCACTACTTTGTTCATCAGCACATTAAAATTTCCTTATGTTAATCACATGATAGGGGTTGTCCCTAA